GATGGGCACCTAGGTTGATTCTGTGTCTTTGCTATCATAAATAGTGCTTCAATGAGCATGTGGATATGTGTCTTTTTGGTAGGACAATTTATTTTCTTCTGAATACATATCCAGTAATGGGATCGCTGGGTTGAGTGGTAGTTTGGTTTAAGTTCTTTGAGAAATCTCCAAACTGCTTTCCAATTTGTGGCTGAACTAATTTACATTCCTACCAACAGTGTCTAAGTGCAGAAGAGAAGTCTAATACTTTTATTTTTCCACCAAACAGGCTTAGTAGTTCAAGTATCTAAAAACATTGCTCTCATTTTATCCAAACATTAAAATATCTTAAATAAAGTAAACTTTTGTATGATTTAGTAGGATTCTGAATGTGGTCCAATACCTATCAAAACCTTGCATAAAATACCCAATATTTGAAAAAGGTAGTCCAATGGACATGTTAACCAGTCATTGATCTGTGCCATACATGACAAGTTCTTTCCTACACAACTAGAACATCATAAAGCTAAGTAGCTGGGCCACAGCCTCTCAGCTTCTCTAGGCAAGGTGCCTTCACAGATGGAGATAGAGCAGTCAAAGGCAGTAGGAAGTAGAATTGAGCCTTTTGAAGTATAGTAATTAAAGATATTGCTAACTATATAATTCTCTGTTCTTAAGGATTCATATAATAAAAATAATGTTTGAGTTATTTCGCACAAAAATTGTCTCTATAGGTAACTATAAAGATTTCAGTTGTCAAAAATGAAAACTCTATTATCTATGCTTCCCTTTCCACTATATATATCAAAGCTTTTAAGGCCTATATTTATTTTCCATTGTATTTACTGGCTCATTCCTGCTGCTTGGTAACATTTACTTTTTTGGTCCCCCCCTTCACATCTGTATATTTTAATCTGTAAACCACCCAAAATCTTTTTGGAAACAAGTGAGGTGTAGAATCCAAACACATAAATCCCTAATCCTTTCAGAGATCAAAACAAAAAGTGCTAAATGGCAAGACTAATAGAAGAATGCTTTATTCAATTATCTTCTCAAAATGGGAAGTTGAATAATAACTTACAAGAGAAAGGCCAATGACAAGAGTGAAGATTAGATTAGGTGGTCCATTATATTTGATGAAAAAATTCAGCCAGCAAAGTATTAATCTATCTTCTTCAGTCAATAAAGGGAACTTTGCAGGCATCCACATAATATAATTTGGCCTTTTGTTACTCTAGTGCACAAATGCTCCTTACTGGAATGACAATTAGTAGTAGCTCTGGTATGTTTTAGTTACATTCTCTTTCCCAAGAGAGCTAGAATGATTTGCAGACAGCAAGGGTCATGCATAAATTCAGACAGTGTCAGTGCCATCTCAGCAGACTCAGTTCAAAGAATGAAGAATGCTGACGCTGCATTGCAGCATTCAGCAGCTACTGCATTAACTCCCTGCAGCAGACCCATGAGCCTGAATAGATCTCCAAGGATAATCCAAAAGGAAATACTGACGATGTCAGACAGGATATCTTACATAAACATAGTAAAGTTACAATGCAAAAGTCAAAATTGACATCATAATAAAAATTGAAGGAAAGGTGTTATTAAAACAGTTAAGTATGCTATAAATCAGTTACCAGAACTGCTACTCAGGGGTACACATTCACCACTGACTGGGACCTGCTTTACTGCTGCATAAATTAGTTTGCACTGCAAACGAACAGAGAAAGCAATTCCTTTTATGGTGTACTCCCTTCAGTCACATCACGTTTGTTTCTGCCTATTATCTGCTTTGGAAATGAACATCTATTGAATGCAGGAAATGATTCCAGAAGTGTTGTCATACTTGCTCTTCCCCAGCTCTCTTTGCTAGCAGGTGGTCACTCTCTGGAACATTCCCTCAGTCTATGATGCTATAAAGAACTGCAAGACTTTATCTGCCATACTTCTTTCTTCACTAATTTAAAATTTCCACTCTCTACTGTATTTTGTCACAGGCAGAAAACAGAAATCGCAGCCCCCCAAGACAAAGGGTGCTGGACTTCTTTAATCTACTTCTAACCACCTCATCCATACCTCTCTCCAAACGTGGCTCTGAAGCATATGATTTATGGTTACAATTTGCAGCCAATTCTCAGCAAATGAGCCTTAATGATGCTCCCTTTATTGCTCTGACTGGATACAATTTGATCCTGTCTGCATTCAGGGGCATCTTACTTTCACCTGCTAGTTCTGTTACCTTCCTGAGAGAACTATGACCTAGAAAGACCCCATGGAAGCTGGGAAGGGAGAAGCCTCTGAAATATGAAAGTGGAGATGCTAGATTATTATATAATAAAATTGCTACAGATTTGGAACCTAAAATGGATTACTTGAGGCAGCTGGCATTTGCCTCAGTTTAAGCTCTTTATAAAGAGTTCTCAGGTACCCTAAAGCCAGTCATTAATCACCCACTGCAGACAGAAGCATAGCTCGTTGGGGAATATGCAACAGCCCAAGCCTCCTATTAAATAAAATCAAATTCCACCGCAGCCTTCAGCTCAGAATGCTATTAGATCTCATTAATTAGGAAAGACTGGGGAAAATGCATTTCTGGATCAGTGAAAAGTCTGAATTTTAACATATTTTAAACCAAAGCACAGTGTAAGTATTTTAAATCATATATGGTAACTCAGGGAGGTTAACAACATGGGTCTGATGTCTCCACTGATTTTTAATCAATAAATAAGCATCTTTTGTAATTACCACAGTCATTGTTTTAATGGAAATGAACACTTTAGAATCACTTGAAAAAGTCTGAAAATACTGTAATATGTCCTCTTAAATTGCTTAAACATTTCTTTAATCCTCTTGTTTTCAGCAACATCAGGAATTTTCTGAACAAAGGCACAAAGACAAACCTCAAACACCACCCTGACATAAATTTTCTAAATGTCCTAATTAGAAGATGTCACTTAATGAGGTTTTTTAATGCTGTGAATTACAGAAATAAAACCAGAAGAATGCATCTTGAAATGAACTTCAGCTTCAACATTGACACACCCTGTTTATACTTGACTTAAAGAAGGGCTTAACTTTGTCCTTCAAAGTGTCAAACTAGGCCTTGGATCTGCCACATCAAGGATGTAGTTAATGCAATAAGAAAAATTGTGAATAACATTGACTGACGCTCTCCAGTCATTTAAACGGATGAAGGCTTTCAGCAAGCCCATGACAACAGGGTAGGAAACAGCATTTCTATTAGTACAAGCTCAGCCTTTATTAATTTTTATAGAACTAATGAATTACAAGAGGAAAAGTAAAATAAACCCCTTTAAGTTACCTAGGGGAGAGAACAGTGGCTAAGAGCTTTGGGGCTTAAATCCTGCCTCTTCCAACCTGCTAGCACTGTGATCCTAAAGCAGCTACTTCTTATCTCTAAGCCTAGGTTTCTTCTAATGTAAAATAAGGATAAATTATAACTTTCCTTATATTAGTATATGTGAGATAAAATGCATAGCCTGGCATCTTACAGTCAGGAACGGCTTCAGAAATGATATTATTTTTACTCCCGATGCAACTACCACTGTACTGCTGGTGCTGGCATTATACACTATCTCCCTATCTCGTCTAGCTCCATTTCTCTTCTAAGAAGTGAAGTGTCAGCAGAAAATAAGACTTCAAATGCTACGTTCAAAATAACAGTGCTGCTTGATATAGTGTAGATGTATGTCCCCACCCAAATCTCATGTTGAAACATAGTGCCCCATGTTGGAGGTGCAGCCTGGTGGGAGGTGACTGGATCAAGGGGAAGGACTTCTCATGAATGGTTTAGCACCATATGCTTGGTGCTGGCCTCGTGATAGTGAAGGAATTCTCATGAGACCTGGTCATTTAAAAGTGTGCAGCCCCAGTCTTCTTGCTCTCTTGCTCCTGCTCTGGCCATGTGACGGGACTGCCCCTGCTTTGCCTCGTGTCGTCATTCTTAAGTTTCCTGAGGCCTCCCCATGAGCTGAGCTGATGCCAGTATCATGCTTCCTGTACAGCCCGCAGAACCAGGAGCCAACTGAATCTCTATTCTTTATAAATTACCCAATCTCAGATACTTCTTTATAGCAATGTGAAAACAGACTAATACACTACTACCGCTGCTGTTAGTGATGATACTACGTCAGGCATTGGCTGAGTGATTTACATCTTTTTCAATTTTCACAGTGACTCAGTGAGGGAGAGGATGATATTTTATAGTTGTTTATTTAATTTCATAATTCATATTATTTCATCTTATAAATGAAGAAACTGATAGACACAGGGAAAAAAGTGAAAGCCAAAATTTGAACCCAAGGAGTCTCAGTCAGAGTCTAGGCTTTCAGCCACTACGTCATCCTGCCTCCAGCTTCACTTGTACTTCTGACAGTGTTTCTGATGGTAGCTGAACACCAGTTTTTAAATTGAGGGCAGTGCTACCCTATTTGGATGTACAACCTGCTGTGCAGTGGGCCATATGACATTGGAATCCCTTTCTTCAATGGATATGAGCTTATTCAGGTTAAAAACCTTGTTACTCATTACGAAAGTTTGTAGGGGACAGAAGATAAAGGCAAAAGATGGTCTCATTATTTGGGTTCTGTAGTTTAGGCCTCACCCATATATTCTAGAACATTCCCATTGTAAGGTCAAGACCCTGATCTCTAGAGCACTGAGTGCCATCTGACCAATTTCTAAGAGTTTCAGAAATTTTAACTTAGGGAACCATTTGTTGTCCCCAGTCATGATTCCTTGAATCACATCTTCTATATATGCATTTATATATTTGTTTATTATACATTCCAGCTAGCATTCCTGATCTTGGTTTACCTCTCCTGCTAGGAAACAGGCACACCTACATAAAAGCAAGAACATACACTACGATGAGTAGAAATCATAGCCTACACTGACTGGAAGGACTCCTGGAGGCAATCTGTCCCAACCTTCTCATGTTAGGGAAAGAGAGTATCAAATCATTTCAAATGCTTTAAAGGCATTACACATTGCTGTGCTCTTACCCTTGCAGTGAAGTCCACAGCAGCCGCTCGGTTTAACAGCAATGTGGCTACATTGATATTTCCATAGTGAGCAGCTATGTGGAGCGGAGTGAAGCCACTCTGTAAAGAAAACATAGCAGACGTTCAATTGATTCCTGCCAGCCCCCTGCCTGACAGGCAAATATCATAACCCTACCCAAATAAAAATGAGGAAGCAAAATATGCTGAGGTCTATGTTCCATTCTGTACTAGGTTTCGATCAGTGCCAATTGCTCACAGGGTTTCTAATAAACCCCAAACATACAGGCAGAAGAATAGCCAGGGAGGAACCAAGGGCGGAGACTGAGCAATTTTAGTAATCCAATAACAGAACTATATAAAAGCCAACATTTCAAGAAATTAAGATAGAGATGAGAAAAATCTTTATAGCTGATAGCTTGATTAGTGCCACTGTTTTATTACTGATGATAGAATTGTGCATTGAAACTCAAAATTCAGTTAGTTTATATATTTGATATAGATTCAAATTAACCAACAGTAAATGCCAATTTTAATGACAAAAGCAATTTTTGGGGGAAGAGGTACTACCACAAAATTTGTTTTATATAATGGGCAATTGTATTCCATGAAGAATCCACAAATTAAACTCTTTGTTAGCCAATGCCTATTCAATAACACGTTTTTGGATTGTTTATACTAAGGTCATTTTACTTCCTTAAAAAATGCTAAAACATGCAGCAATTCACTTAGTCCCCAAAGATTGAAACCTTATAGGAACTAGATGCATTTCTAATTTGTTAGCAAGCTTCTTAGCCATGCTAGCTATCTCACTGAGTCTTGTAGAAGGGTGGGTCATATTGACGCCATTCTGAAATACCTTTCCTTTTGCTGACACCACAGAGGGTAAGTGTCATGCACAACCCTAAAAAACGAGTCCTGGATGAGTAGAATGACAGGGTTGTCTGCAGCTTTAGATATAGCTGATAAACATCTAAAGTATCCAACTCTTCATCTCACACAGCTCTATTGCAATAACCTTAAGAGTCAAGGATTCCTCATTCTTCTCTTTCAAACACCAGGTTCAGCTGCAGAAAGCCCTGGTAATCAAACTACTGCTATCTTATCTGGCACATGCTCCTTTGGGGAGAGGAGGGATTGGGGATAAAGCAGGTATCTAGCCTACAGAAGGCGATGCAAAGAAGAAGGGAAAGACATGAGGCAGCAGCACTAAGTCATGGGAAAATGATGATGCAGATATAGACTACACGTATATGCATATATATATATACCTCTGTTGTTCTATTCACCACCATCTAGGTTAACACATTTGGAAGCAAAGAGGAGGAAAAAATGAACGGTTAGTTCACTATTGGTGATATGGATTGCAGAAAGCTCATGACAGCTAAGTAATGAGGATGGAAGCTCTGATGAAAGCACAATAGGCACAGAAAGAAAGCTAGACTGAATGATGGGCTATGCAACGGCCTAGTCCAAATGCCACATTTCCATCACAGAGACTTTCAGGTACCACATGTCAAGACGATGGGAATTTTTGGCTGCGGCTCTCTTGCAGCTGGCATGCTCTCCGCAGCTGATCTACGCTCAGTGCCTGGCCTGTCATCTTGGATATCAACCAGAGGTCTGTGTACACTGTCTTTAGCATTTTGTAATTTTTCACCCTGATGTTTGAGCTGAAGTGTTGAATATATTCCAAAACTATATTCAAAGGAAGGAAATCATCACTGCATATAAATTGACTTCTTTCAAGGTGGCCTCCCTTTTAGCACGCATAGGGCCACATCCCCCTCATCCCCCAGCTTCTCATGTGAAGGGAGGCTGTGCCTTCAGTGGCTAGCTCAGACACACATTTTTCCTCCCTTCGATGAAGTTAAAGGTGTGGCATAAGCTTGCCAAGAGGGAGACCGAGTGCTCTTAAAGGTTGCATGTCTAACACTGGAGAGTTGCATGACAGGCCCGTGTCCCTCGTGCCTCACCTTTGATTCCACATCCGCATTGTTGTCATTCTGCAGCAGCAGGGCGGCGGCTTTCGTGTCATCTTTTCGGGCCGCAATATGAAGAGCTGGGAGACGCACTTTTCCTTTGGTGTCATTCTCTAGCAGGAGCGAAACGACTTGGTCGTGACCTTGTTGCAAAGCCACTGCCAATGGTGTGAAGCCATCCTGCAAATAAATGGATGGGTCAAGATTGGCTCCAAGGAATATTTTCCTTTTTATTAAATAACAAATAAGAAGGCAACCAAGTGACCAAGCGTCAATTTTTGTTTGGGGTTATTAAAACTAACAACATATTCGAATGGACAGAAAAGTGAAAAGATATTTTCAAAAAATATTTATCTATACAACCAAAGTAAAAAACACTAAGAGATTTGTAATAGGTTCATGGGGTTTTGGGTTTTCCATTAAAAAGTAATATACATTAGTTGGGAAAATTTTGAAAATGTACAAAAATACTAGATATAAAAGAAAAAGTTGCCATAATAGCAATATCCATAAAATAATCTCAGGGCCGGGTGCGGTGGTTCACGCCTGTAATCCCAGCACTTTGGGAGGCAGAGGCGGGCAGATCACCGGAGTTCAGGAGTTCAAGACCAGCCTGACAAACATGGTGAAACCCCGTCTCTAACAAAAATACAAAAATTGGCCAGGCATGATGGAGGCCTGTAGTCCCAGCTATTTGAGAAGTTGAGGCAGGAGAATAGCTTGACGCCAGGAGGTTGCAGTGAGCCGAGACCATAGTATTGCACTCCAACCTGGGTGACAGAGCAAGAAAGAAAAGAAAAGAAAAGAAAGAAAAGAAAAGAAAAGAAAAGAAAGAGAGAAAGCGGGGGGAGAGAGAGAGAGAGACAGAGAGAGAGAGAGGGAGGGAGGGAGCGAGGGAGGAAGGAAGGAAGGAAGGAAGAAAGAGAAAGAAAGAAAGAGAGAGAGAAAGAAAGAAAGAAAGAAAGAAAGAAAGAAAGAAAGAAAGAAAGAAAGAAAGAAAGAAAGAAAGAAAGAGCGAGCAAGCAGGCAAGCAAGCAAGCTCAGTCTAAATCCAGGCAAAATTTTCAAAGGAGCTCATTTAAATAAGATGTAAAAATTTCCATGGATTTTTAAAAACTGAGATATACGCCTGTCTGGCTCATTACTGTGCTGTGTTGCCTCGCATATTCCTGCTCTGTCAGGATATGTGAATTCATGAACTGTACTCATGGTTGCTTTACGAAAGGTCTATAGAGACTAAGGTCTCTAGAGTTAAGAGAAAGACTCTTGGCTTCTGTGACCAATGAAAGAAGACAACACAAAGATCATGCAAAACATGACTCTTTTTATTTATTCTGGTTATTCTTTTTTCTTTTTTAATTTTATTTTAAATTAAAAATTATAATTATAAATATGTATAGGGGTAAAAAATGATATTATGATTTATGAATATAATCTGGAATGATCAAATCCAGCTAATTAACATCTTCATCACCACAAATACTTATTTTTTTGTGGTGAGAACATTTGAACTTTATTCTCTTAGCAATTTTGATATGTACAATACATTATTACTAACTCTGTTAACCAAGTTGTGCAACAGATTTCAAAAAAAGCAAAATAAAAACAAAAACTTGTTCCTCTTCATTGACCATTACCTCCTGTCTCCCCATTACTACCAGTTCCTAGCCTCTGGTAACCACCATGTTCCTCTGTGCTTCTATGAATTTGATTAAAACATGGCTTTAGAATAAATTCAGATATAAGTGCACACATACATACTCTATACATTTTGAATCTTCCGTTTTTGTTACCCTGGGACTTGATAAAGGGGACACAGCTACAGATTTCACTGCAGTTAATTAATGTGTGGATTACCTAGAGTTGCTGAATGTAGAGAAAACAGCACAGAGTAGAAAATCCTAGGACTGGCTCGCAAATTGTTAATTCTGCAATGGTTTCATTATTATATACTCAAAAGGGCATTAATTTTTTTAACTAGAGAACTGGCATGCAAGTGACTTATTATTTTATTTGGATCATGATATTTATTTCTGTAGTCCTGTGACACAGAAAAGCATTTGGAAAACACATAGGAGTACATATGCACCTAGGTCTTCCTAAAACATCCCTTTCAACATTCCTTGCCTTGCTAGCATATAGAGAAAGGCTCTCCTAATTCATTTGATTGAATGCAAAGCAGCATACTTACACCTAAGATGTGCAAAATATTGACCTAAAGCACTTAAGGGACCTTATTGCTCAGTATTGTCCCCTATAAAATCCTTTCGATCAGTGTCTGTACTGATTCTGGACATACAGACTTAATTCTCCTCTGACACCTGTACTCATGCTATTTCCCCCACCCTGGAATGCCCTCTTCTTTTCTCTATGTATACAAATCCCATCTACCCTCCATGCTTCAAGATCGGCTTAAATGCCACCTGTTTCGTTTAACTTTACTACTCAAAACAGCAGGAAAAAGGAAAACAATAACATAACCAAATCAACTAGAAGGTTATTCCCTGAAGCCTTAAGAAAGATAACAAACAGGGAAAGACTGGATATGTCCAAGACGTCACCAAAATGATATCATAGGTTTATACCTAAAGACAGGACTTTAGGATATAATAAGAAAAGTAGTCTACATGTCTATGTAAATAAACACTTTCATTTTCAAAAAGATAGATACACGTATCTAATATGTACATATGCAAGCAATCGGTTAAAATGTTATCTCTAGGGAAAATTAACAGAGACTTCTTGCTTTTTATTGTACTTTCTCATTTATGTAATGTATTACTTTTGCAAAAAAAAAATGCATTGTTTAAATGAGAGTTAGGCAAAAGGAAAATTGTGTTTTAAGGTTTAATTTTGCATCTCACTCAAAAAACCTGAATAAAACCTAAGGGGTAAAAATGACAGTCCACTTCTGTTCTGAATCCAAACAAAATGCCTACATTTCCGCTGATGTGAATTTTAAAATTCACAGGACCTATACATAAAGGAAACTACTTTGTACCAGAAAATAAACTGCAACTGAGCCGATTAGCAGTGACAAGAATATGTTTCCTGCATAAGCCAATTAAAGACACAAAGATACCAGCTCTAAGGTGTTAATAGCTAAAATTAGCAGCTCCAGATTTTATTTCAAAACCAAGTTTAAATGCTGTGCTTTGCTTTGTGCAGTTATCCTTAAGAGAAAAATGAGCAGAAAGGAAATGCGATAGAGGCTACTGGTAAAAAGGTCCATCCCCTGGTTGCTCAAGGATATCCAGTACCTTGTGAAGTATCTGAAACATAATAGGTACTTAATAATTATTCATGGAATAAATGAACAAACAAGTATACGGCATGCTTCAGAATGGTAATTAGCAAAAGGAAGGTATATATAAATATATGTGTGTGTATATATGTGTGTGTGTATATATATATGTAAAAGATATGAGATGCAGTACACAGTAATATAAAAACGTTTTAAAAACCACAATTATACAGAAATCTTGCTACATATATACATATATACAAGATTTGAAGTGTGCCAGGCTTACTGAAAAAAATACATTTGAAAGAATTTGGCAATATCCTACCGTGTAGTGAATTAAAGATTCTATTAAAAACTTGCTATTTAAAGGATTCTTAAATTACCCCTACTGTTTGTTCTGTAAATATAGACTTCTCTATAAATGACACCAATATTACTGCTAATGAGAGAGCAATACAGTAATTAGAATATCATTTGAATAAAATGTCTTATTTCCTGTTGTTGTTCTTATTCTCCAATACCAATAATCCAAAAGAAGAGAAAAAATTCAAAGGTTCAAACATCTCTAGGTAATTAGATGTTGTTTATACAGCAATGTAACAGCAACCTCCCTGAAGACATGAACGTGACTTATTAGACACAATGTTTGTTCTTGCCCTTAAAACTACAAACATAACATGAAATTAAATCAATGTAAAGGCATAAAAACTTTTAAAATATATATCCTTTGCCAAAAGACTGAAGTAGTGATTTGAAGATCTCACGTACTATTTTTCTTCAAGTTAGCTGTAGGGCTTCTTTTTGGGCCTTGAAAACTTCAAAAAGTACTGGAGAGCTCTGAGAGTTACTGGTAATTGGTTTACAATCTAATTCAAATCTATTAGCAGTAAATTGGGGTTATGTTTGCTTCTAAAGGAGAGATACTTAGTGATCTGCACATCACAGAGCAAAAAAGTGATGTACTACACCATCTTCACGAAGAAAGCTATGGAATAACTCATTAGGTTATTTACCTTACTTAGTATTTCCATCCAAAAATGAGGATGGGTTTTCTCTTAACCAACAGTCTCTGCCTGTATCTCTTTCCCCTGTCCACTAGGACACAATGTGTGTATCGTACTGTGCTTAGAATAGCTACTCTTGAGTGTGAAGAGAGGCACCGTTCTCTGTCTAGCAAATGTTTATTCTGTTTTGTTTGTTTAGAGACAGGGTCTCACTGTTGCTCAGGCTGGAGTGTAGCGACTACTCACAGGTACAACTGCAGAGCACTATATCCTCAAACTTCTAGGCTCAAGTGCATCCTGTCTCTACCTCCTGAGGGGCTGGGACTACAGGTGTGCGCCCTTGCACCCGGCTAAATGTTTGTTATTTTGATATCAACCAGTAGTTATTTCCTAACTAGCTTTAAGAGTACTATTAAAAAAAACAGTGCATTCTCATGATAAAAATTCCCCAAATCACTGATAGGTATAAAATAAAATTAAAAAAAAATGGGTATAAAAATCCCCAACAGTACTGATGGGTTCAAAGGCTCCCTCTGAATTCTCAGGGCAAACCACCGATAACAATCTACTATGGACATTTTCCTATATCAGTACATACAGCCTTGTCTCATTTTTAACAGTGCTAACAGCATGTTATTCTATAAATACATGAACATTTACTAACAGGTTTCTTTTTTGTTTCTTTCAAAGTCTAATAGCTCTGAATAAACAGGATTCTTATTGGTGTAAATTTAGATTATTTCTGATTTTTTAAAAATTGCTATTGCTAATTGTGTTGATAAACATCCTCGCATACTACTTTTGCATCCCAATGCAAATGTATCCATAAGATATATTTATATATCTAATATTTCTATAATACAACTTTTTAGAAGTGGAACTGCTAAATAAAAAGTCTTGTAAATATTAGTATTTGATAGTTGCTGCCAAATGTTCTGTAAAAGTGCTGTAACCAACAATTAATTTCACCAGTATTGTAGGCAGTTCTGGTTTCCTCTCCCTATCAAATTTTTGTTTTTAGTCTCATGGGCAAAAGATTAGATCTGATTTTTTATCTGATTAATAAATGAGTATTTCTTTGACTATAAATGAGGATGAGAATTTTTCACATCTTTGTTTGTTTGTGTGAGCTATCTCTTAATTTATTTAGTGGTTTCCCTAGAAGGTATAGTCTCAAAAACTAAGTGAGATTAGATGCAGTTTCTCTATTGCCATCTTTTCTGTGCCACTTAGGAAGCACATCAGCATGCAAGCAAGAGTAATGGTTTATAATAGGGATAACCCTGCATCTGCCCTAATTCACTGTTTTGTTAGAAATAAAAAATACTCAAATGTTGATCCTCTATTATTAGCAATAGATTTCTGGTGACATGCTTAAGTGACTCCAGTCTTCCATCTAGATTAGTTTAAAAAATAAAAAACATTACCTAAGACAGTACCAATGGCCTAAATAACTTTCTATTTTTAAATAATTTTTCTAGACTGCAAAGATTTTTTTTCTTCAAATACCACATCTATTTAATACTTACAAATGTGTCATAGTTTTGGCTGGGCATGGTGGCTCACACCTGTAATCCCAGCACTTTGGGAGGCCGAGGCAGGTGGATCACAAGCTCAGGAGTTCAAGACCAGCCTGGCCAAGATGGTGAAACCTCATCTCTACTAAAAACACAAAAATTAGCTGGGTGTGGTGGCAGGCACCTGTAATCCCAGCTACTAGGGAGGCTGAGGCAGGATAATCACTTGAACCCAGGAGGAAGAGGTTGCAGTGAGCTGAGATCACACCATTGCACTCCAGCCAAAGCAACAGAGCAAGACTCCAAAAAAGTATAATAGTTTTATTTATAAGTATGAATTAAGTCTAATTAGTTAACTTAAAAAATATATAAATTCAATCATTATAATTAGGTTAACTTAAATTTGGAGAAACAATGTAAAACTAATGTTTTATTGAAAAGATAGTTCCCATCAATTATTCCAAAACAATGATTGCCTTTGCCTATCAGGCAAAATTGTAAGAGTCAGAAAAGAATTCTCAAGCAAATATGTAAAATATTTAAATAATATCATAATTATAGCATAGAATCGGGCATTTAAGAGCAGAAAGGGTATCTATGCAACAGAAGATTTTTAAAGATTAAAAGTAGACTTATAGTAGTGTATTTCATAAAACTTACGAACCCACACATTAATATAAAATATAGAACTTCAATTGAAGTACTAGTAGGACAAATTCACAACTCCAGGTTTTCAAAATGCCCTGTAAATATGTGAACTTACGCACAGGAACAAAACAGTGTCTTACCTCTGTGGCTAGGCTCTGACTTGCACCGTTGTCAAGAAGAAACTTGACAACTTCCAGGTGATTTTCCTGGGCTGCCATATACAATGGCGTGAAACCATTCTGAAAAATAAGAAAAAAAAATGTTTGTCTGCAGCCTTCCAGAGACAATCTATTTTTCCATGGTACTCATGATTTATGCTCCAAGAAGTGCTCACATACAATAACTTTAATGATACTTTCATATAGATATAAATATTTATTAGAAAACCCAAGCACCATAGCTTAAGCTAAATTCCTAATCTGTGTAATTCAAAATTATATTTCATAATTCATAATTTGGGTATAGATCATAGTTAATAGTTCATAGTTAATAGTCCAAGTATAATTCAAAGCAATTTACCTACTTTAATAAGTCCACTCACTTAGTCATCAACCACTGACTGAGAGCGTACCATGAGCAAGTATTTTACTAGATGCTATGAGAATATGAAGAAAAACACATTTAGTCATTGTAGCTGCCAAGCATCAATTATCTGTTTTAAATAAACATGTAGTATTTTCACACAAAAGTAAGCATCTGAACTAGTTGAAACTAGTTCAGGGAGGAATTTATATTAATCTCAAATAGCTTCAAAGTTACCACAGATGTGATCTTTTAGAGCAAAACAGAAATGCCAATTTGCCTAATGGTATGATTCAATCTAATTCATAGTCTGTTTTTTGTAGGTCTCCTTCCTTTGTATTTTTTGTCGAGGTAGTTTTATGTTCAGAATACATATATCCATGCATATTATACATACATACATATGCACATATATTTAGTTTGTGTGTGTGTGTGCCTCTCTGAAATGTGCATCAATGCTCAAAGAATTTGGATTTAAGCAAATTAATATACATATTACATCTTAAGTTTCCTATTAAAAATATGTTGCATATACATTTGTTCTCTAGAAGAATGTATTTCATATCTATGAAATACTATACTATTTTAAAATCTTATTGCAAGATATAAGCATCAAACAATTTTCAAACTATAATAAATTGTTTTATTATTATTATTTTGAGACAGGGTCTCGCTTCATTGCTCTGTGTCAAAACAATAATAAAAAACCAAAAACAATGGAGTGCAGTGGTGCCATCACAGTTCGCTGCAGCCTTAATCTCCTGGGCTCAAATGACCCTTCTGCCTCAGCTTCCCAAGCCGCTGGGGCTACAGGCATACACTGTCACACCTGGCTAATTTATTTTTATTTTTTTATAGAGACTGGGTCTCCCTGTGTCACCCAGTATGGTCTTGAACTCCTGGGCTCAAGAAATCTGCCTGCCTTGGCCTCCCAAAGTGCTCGATTACAGGTGTGAGCCACCGCACCCAGCCAGTATATTCTTTTTGAATATACTTTTCAGAATGCAGTTCTATTTAACTGAATGTTCTAAAAATTTTATTGTATACATTATGCAATTTCAAAGAATAAAAGTAAATATATTCTAAATGACAATGTTACCAAATATTCAACCTTTTGTGATTCAAAAGGTTTAAGTTCATTATTATAAATATCAACTACTATACAATTACCTTGCTTATCCATAAGTTCAGCCTCTGGTAAACACACTGCTTTTGGCTTATAACTGAGAATTAGAAAGTAAGTTAAAAAGACCCTTCAGCAGATAAATGTGATGCCACATAACAAATCCACCATGGCTATGTACTTATCAGAGAGTTCCTCTATTCTACTTCCTCTATTTGGCACAGAATTGTAACAAGTTAGGTGATCTAGTTGCCAAGCTCAAGATTAGAAACACAAAATTAGAGGCAGTGGAATGCAACATCACATTCAATCTTCTTCCTTTTAAATTGTCTACCTGATAATATCTCTGGAGCCTGCTGTTACTCTGTTTTATCATGAAAGATTCTACCACATTTAAACATGAAGCATGGAGTACATGGAACACTGTGGGGGTGTGTGTGTGTGTGTGTGCGCGCGCGCGCATGTCCGTGTGTCTTTCATCTTTGTCCCTCCTCCCAGCGCTATGACGCTATGAGTGAAACTGAAAGGGAGTTTAGGATTACTCTCATCATATTGCTATTTTCTCATTTTCTAATTGGACTAAAATGAAAGATCATTACATCCTTAGTTAATTTAAATATTCTTTAAGCAACAAAACAAAAAAGAAAATAAAAGAAAGTCAAAACCAGTATGGCTTTTTCTCATAGCTAAACTAAGTGTCGATCTTCCCTCATCAAGTGCACTCTCTGAAAGCCGAAACTTCCAGAGGGCAGGTTCAGAGTTTTAGAAGTTTTGTTTTTTGTTTTTGCTTTTGAGACAGTGTCTCTCTCTGTCGCCCAGGCTGCAGTGCAGTAGTGAAATCTTGGCACACCACAACCTCCACCTAACAGGTTCAAGAGACTCTCCTGCCTCAGCCTCCCGAGTAGCTGGGACTACAGGTGCCCACCACGACACCCAGCTAATTTTTGTATTTTTAGTAGAGGTGGGGTTTCAACATGTTGGCCAGGATGGCCTTGATCTCCTGACCTCATGATCCGCCTGCCTTGGCCTCACAAAGTGTTGGGATTACAGGCGTGAGCCACCACACCCAGCCTTGTTTTTTTTTTTTTTTATTCCAAAATAAGCATTTTTCTCTCAGACATGAATATCAACAAGATATTTATGTCAAGACAAGTAATGCCAGTTCATTCTCAACTTCGAGATAGAGGTCTGCTGTGGTCCAAGATTGCCTAAGAAACACTAGTCTATCCACACATGTCTGGCTCTAGTGAGTGTCCACTGTTCTCACAGTTTCCTTCCAGAACCAACCATTTCAGGATCCATGAAGAAAGCCCAGACTCAGGCACTGGGTTTTAAGGTAATGCTTTCTTACAGACCTGGAATCTCTCGAGAATTATTCTTAAGAGGCACAACTCTGAAATCATTCCACATGCCGTGCTTTACAATGACAGAAACTGAGATGCACAGAATTAGGACTACTTAGAAATATTTGTAGACAAGAGTCACAGCAAGATACAGCCCTGTAATTAATTGTTTTCCTTTTCCACAATAGCCTTCCACCTTCTTTTCGAGTGCTTGCCATCCTAAGATTATTACCTGAAAGTTGGTCATTTTCTGAATGGTTACATACTTGCTTGTTTTTTGATTTTAAAAATATTTTTTATTGATATATAATTTGCATATCATAAAGCTCACCTTTTTAAAGTGTACAATTTAGTGGCTTTAAGTATATTCATAAAATTGGGCAACCCTTCCCACTATCTAATTCTAGAATATTTTCATCACCCCAAAAAGAAGCCCTACATGCCTTAGTAATCACTCCCCATTTCCCCCGAGTTACCACTAATGCACTTTCTGCCTCTACAGTTTTGCCTATTCTGGATATTCTATATACACAGAATCATACAATATCTGTCCTTGAATGGTCTGATACTATTTCTTTCATTTTTTTAAGAGAGAGTGATATGGTTTGGCTGTGTCCCTACCCAAATCTCACCTTGAATTGTAATAATCCCCAGGTATCAAGGGTAGGGCCAGGTGGTGATAATCATGGAGGCAGTTTCCCCCATACTGTTCTTGTGGTAGTGAATAAGTCTCATGAGATCTGATGGTTTTATCAATAGGAGTTTCCCTGCACAAGCTCTCTTGCCTGCCACCACGTAAAACGTGACTTTGCTCCTTATTTGCTTTCCGCCATGATTTTGAGGCCTTCCCAGCCATGTGGAAGTATGAGTCAATCAAACCTCTTTCCTTTATAAATTACCCAGTCTCGGGTATGTCTTTATTAGCAGCATGAGAACAGACTAATACAGATAGGGCCTTGCTCTTATTGCCCACCCTGTTGTGTAGTGGTGTGATTATAGCTCACTGCAGCCTTAATGTGGGCTCAAGTGATCCTCCACCCTTAGCTTCCTGAGTAACTAGGACTATGGGAATGCACTACCATGTCTGGCTTTTTTATTTTTATTTTTGTGGAGATAGGGTCTCACTATATTGCTGAGGCTAGTCTCAAACTCTGGCCTCAAGTGATCCTCCTGCTTTGGCCTCTCAAAGTGCTAAAATCGCAGGCATGAACACTGTGCTTGGCCTTCTTATGCTATTTCTGCTATCTATATTGATAAAATGTTTTTGGTGAGTGTTTCATGGTGGAAATTTCAATTTTATAGTAGTCATTTGTAGTGCATGGGTGTTTGTTTTATTTTGCTTTAGTTTTGGTCATCAGTGTCCACACACCTGTTTCCCTTTCAGGACAATGTCACCCCTATTTTCTTTCAGAGAATTACCTATTCCCCATTATGCAGGTAGGACTTGTCCTGGAATGGACTGAGACAAAGAAGCTTGCCCTTCATTAATCACAGGGTAGACACACAGGCAGGCTATCTTCTGTTTTCTCTTTTAGGTCCACCCTTGATTCTCCCTCTCCAGCTTTGATTGACCTGCAAGAACCAGGTTAAAGCAATCCTACTCTCTTGCTTCTCGCCATGTTCTCCCACTCTCCGCTCCAGCTATCAGGTTTCCAAAGCTTTCTGAAAGCTTCTTTAGCTTTCCATTCTCTGTGTTCCTCAACTAATTCCAACAAACTCCCTCTTGTGCTTAAGTTAGTTTCTGTTCCCATAATTCAAATAACATCCCAAATTACAAATTTTATCTTTCAAGAAATGGTCAAGACATGAGAACCCATACATACCATTTACTTATGATTCTAGAGAGAAAATCAGAAGTGTCGTTTGGAAAGAGTGAACAAAAATATTGCCAACACTCCCTAGCTCAAAGAGGTTGAGGCACCATTAACTCAATGTGTTGTCATTAGACAACCTAGAGCCATAATTGTTTGCTGTGAAATAGCACGTGGGTTGGAGAATGGTCAGATTTCAAAATAAGAGGAAAAAGTACACCACTGTTTTTATAATTCCTAACTTAGAACATTTCCAAAACAAAGCTAGCTAAAAAGGAATATACGGGTGCCCAATTTGCATTTTCTTTTCTGTAGCAACAACAGATTAAATTCTCAAAAGGCAGAGCAGCTTAAGATGGAATGAGTATGCTATTTGAAGTCTGATTTTATCCAATATATTCAATACCTTCTGCTCTGAATGTTTATAGTGGTGCTATTATAAGCATGCAAATCTGCAGACTTATAATTTTGTAGATAGTACCGAGGCATGCTGTCTAATACACATCAAAATAAAATAATAAGTATTCCTATGACTTCATTTGGAGAAGGGTTTAAATTTCATCTATGAAATTTTTCTATTCATTCTAATTTTCTATGGCCAACCTCTGCACATCACAAAGTGCTGTCCTTAATTAAAATGTTAAGGTCATGGCGAAAGATTTGCATTGATTCATATATGTTACTAATTTTCGTGAAGGTCAGTTAGATTAGAGGTGCAATATAAGGTCACAGAGGCTCAAGCTGAACCATATCCAAAGTCCCATACTTGTACTGTCTAACTTTGTCAGGATCCGACTTTCCCACCATAGGGAATATCAGAGTACCCAGGAAGACCAAGGAGGAACTAGTTAACCTAAAGGGTCTTACCTTTACAAACGCCACTAGGAAAATCTGTTCATTTAAAACACTTTGGTGGTTAAAATATTATTGGAAACAGACTTTGCTTCTTTATAAATTCAGTTGGTATTTTATATTATAACGACAGTGAAGGAGGGAAGAGTAGGGGATGTCATTTGACTGTGCAGTTTGAGATTTTTCAATAGCAAACATTGTTAATCATTGTTGTATATCTAGTATAAAGTATTAAGGACTTAATAGAATTCTTTATAATCACAATTTAGTCAATTCAATTTCTTTCTTAGAGTAGGACTAAATGATTACTGGAATGTTAAGTACTAAAAGAAAGAGTTAACTTGTTAAGACCTAAGATCAAGGCAATGACAAAAATTACTTTAAAGTCTACAAATTCCTAGTTTATAGAGCCTTGGTTTATAAGATGAGAACTTTATATTGCCCAATGTCATTTTTATGTGTAAGATAAGGAGAATTTCTATAGTAAAGAAGAGTAAGGGGCTCTTTTCACACTATTTTGTATTGGCTATTAAATATTGCTTACAGGTTAAAATTTCATGTCAACAGAGATGCTGTCTGTCTTGAATATTAATATTTCTGTACTGTTTTATGTGCTGCTTCCTAAATGGAGTTGACATCATTCCTTGTTACTCTTTATAACAGTTCCTACTGAAGAGTTGTTACCAGGAATTATCATAGAAACTCCATTCCTCTGCAAGGTCATGTCATTACTTATTCCATCCACAGAACAATGCAGTTCAGAAGGCATATGAGGGCAGGTGTTCAGATGAAGGGGGAAATGCTTTGCTGTGCCATGTGTGGCTGGTAATTCCAAGCACAACTGTAAGTAACAGGGAATTTCACATATTCTCTCTTACTACATCATCAGTGTGGAATGTGTACAAATTGAAATTAGAACTGATTAGGATTTTTTTTCAACTGCAGCTTCTCCCAAGCATTGCCAAGCCAGTTCAAAACTATGGCTAGTCTAAGCGTTAGCCAATAATGGATGTGATGTTTGAAAGAAGGAGGTCGATTTTTTCCTCCCTTGAGAAAATGATAAAACAAATGAAAATGGATTAAAGAATTTTCTCACTATCTCAGAGCTTAAAACTACCTAGCCATAATTCAGTAAAACATTATTGGGGTATTTTGAAAAACATTCATTTAAAAGCATGATGCTTTTAAATGACCAGTAAGCTGGTCTGTATCTCTCTCAAAGTACCATACTTGCTGCTCTTCAATTTTACACCATTCCTTTCTGGAAAAACGTTATTACTCCAAGGGAACTCTCCTAGGGAATCAGAATAATTGGCATAGATCATGTAACAAAAGTCCAACCACAGGGAACTAGAATGAATTTAGAGCAAATATACAAGAACCATGCAGTTGCAAGCACTGTGCATTTCCTTTTCTTTCACTCTGACATTTGATGGCATCAGAGCTATCATTGCTATGTCTGTAGTAAACGGGGGAGGAAGTCACTACAATTCTGTGAACCCATAAAACAGAGGAGACTCCCGATAACCAAAGATAATCAGTACTGGAAAAATCAAGTGCATTTAAAATGGAGAGCAAAAGGCCATAATAAATAATCTTTTTAAAGTTTGATTCAGACTTACTCTTAAAAGATAAAACTGGAAATTATAAAAATAGGCTTATATGATTTAATAAAGTGTAAGTTATAACTGGATTCATGTATAAGTTCTCAGAATGAACAAAGACTAAACCAAATGTTATTTTTCCCAACAAAATGATATATGTCGACATTCTTCACTTTTTAATTTTCATAGCACAAGCAAAAAAGACTGTCTTTTGGAAGAAGTATTTGCCATCCAGAGATCTCACTTATCTTTTTGTCTTCATTTAATCTATGTATTTTCAAATCATTCTTATATGAAACAGCTATCAGGAAATTATCCTAACTTTTCACATGCTTCCTAGCCTAATGCTGCCAGAGTACCGCGTACCCACAGCTCAACTGTGCACCCAGAAGTTCTCCAAATCATTTTCTTTGACTTCAGGAAACTTAGTGTCTTTGTCAAAACTTGCAGTTTTGTTCTGCAATCAATTTGTTCAATATCTAACACCCCTGGGGAGACACTGACAAATAAGGATGGAAGTCAGCATTCGACTGGAAGGAATGTTTGAGTGGGAACCAGTTTTAAATGCGGTCATGTTCTTAGTGAATATTTTTGAATTACGATGATGTTTGCTTTCCTACATGACCTGCCTGTGGAGACTCAAATAACGAATACTTGAATAATGAGGACCTATATTTTTAAACAAAATAAAGCAACGTTAATTCTTCTAGATTCGAAGTCTGTCAAATGATAACCTGTTGGTGTTCCTCTTAGAAATTCATGAAAGACCATGAAAGATTTATCGGAGGACCTATGTTCATTATAAAGAATCTGAAATTTTTTAAACTTGAGCACTTTTAAAGTTCCTTCTGCTTGTTTTTAAAAAGATCGAACCTAAGCTAGCATCATAAAATAGTGTAAGACCCTGCATTACAGATACCCTTTAAACATTTGTATCTATGACTAGCATCTTTTATAGACAGACCGCTTTAAAAACCTCTCTCTCACATATATATAAAAACCTCTCTCTCACAGTTATATATATATATAAAAACCTCTCTCTCACATATATCTCTCACATACATAAAACAAATGAAAACACATATGAATTTAAATAATCTGCAATAATTTAACTTTTTTTTTGAGACAGAGTCTTGCTCTGTCACCCAGGCTGGAGTGCAGTGATGCAATCTCAGCTCACTGCAACCTCTGCCTCCTGGGTACAAGTGACTCTCATGCCTCAGCCTCCCAAGTAGCTGGGATTACAGGCATGTGCCATGACACCAGGCTAATTTTTTTGTGTTTTTAGTAGAGACAGGGTTTCACCATGTTGGCAAGGCTGGTCTCAAACTCCTGGCCTCAAGTGATTTGCCCACCTTTGCCTTCCGAAGTGTGCAATAATATAACTTTTTAAATATAGTTCTTAAATATTGTGTTCTTAGAGAACATGTGAACTAAGCAGTCACCTGACCCAAAGAATATTGCTTGTAAATGATAACAAAATGGCTACGGCATGGAATTGTAGACTTACCTGAGATTGTGCATTGACATTGGCTCCATTTGTAACCAAGACTTTTACTACCTCTGCTTGTCCAGCCAAAGATGCGATGTGCAATGCTGTGTTTCCTTTCTGTGAAATGAAAGTCAAGATTTATCAACTCATCGACCTTTTGAATTTTTCTGTTCTTCCCAAAAAGAACACATTTGACAAATACCTTATGAGAGTTGTGCCCCCATTCTTACTGAGGGCTGAATCCTCACAGAACATGGCGAGTGGTACAAAAAGCATTAGATATGTGATACTGACCTTTGTAGCTGCGTCCACATTGGCTTCTCTCTGTAGCAGCTCAGATACAACTTCTACATGGCCTTCTTTGGAAGCAAGATGGAGAGCGTTCAACCCATTCTGATTAAAAGTAAAGGAAAAGCTTTACTCAGTAGGCTGAAAATAGAGCAGTAAACAGTCTACCAAGGACTCCTGAGCTATTATAATGTCCCACCTGATGACCACTTGCATGTGTGCAGTGCAGGAACTTGTATCTTGAATTAGGAATCAAAGTACTTGAAAACTAGATGGGTTGTTCTGTTATCACTGTTTACTAAATTTTAGAAATTAATTATTAAGGGACATATGCCGACATTTCTGAATGTTCCTCTAACAGGGAATAATTTGACAATGACAAGCTGATAAAATTCAACGGAAAAAAAAAAAACTCACAAAAAAATAAAGTCTTTAAGGGCTTTGAAGTCTGGATTTTTAGAATTTTAAGTAAAAAATTCAATAATAACTCCAACTAACCTGATTGCAAATGTTGATGTCAACTCCATTTTTTATGTAGTCGAGGGCCTTTTCGAGGTGTCCAGCTCTAGCTGCTCTTAAGTAACTTGCATTGGCATCAGACTAAAATGGAAAAGAAAAACATTTTGATGAAAAATGAAGGTAATATGCATGTTTATAAACTATCCAGCTTAAGGTCCAAACGAAAATAATTGAACTTTTATTTCTAACAATGAAAATATGAATAAAAGTTCTTTGTAAAAAGAACCAAGAAAAGGACGCATTTTTTAGAAGTTAGCTTCAGGGGTACAATGTTATCCCTTGTGTGATGTCAGAGTTCATTCCGAATTGAGAGAGAAAATTTCCTGTAATGTACAGGCACCTTAAACCAACACACAATTTCCAGAGGGAAAAGAGAAATTCTGTAAGTTATTGATAATTACATTATGAAGACCCCACTATTTTCCTGTAGGAGAAATGTAACATCTATTCCTTTTATCCATATCTACCACAGCAATTTTTTCAATTAATAGATTCAAAATGGCATCCTTCTTCTTCTTCTTAGAGGCAGTGTCTTACTCTGTTGCTCCAGCTGGAGTGCAGTGGTGCAATCACAGCTCGCTGCAGCCTCGAACTCCTGGGCTCAAGTAATTCTTGGCCTCAACCTCCTGACTAGCTGAGACTATAGACATGCGCCACCATACCAGGCTACTTTTTTAGTTTTTAGAGACAGGCATCTCGCTATGTTCCCAGGCTGGTCTTGAACTCCTGGCCTCAAGCAATCCTCCCACCTTGGCCTCCGAAAGTGTTGGGATTATAGGCATGAGCCACCATGCTTAACCCATTTTATGTTTTACTTAATAGTCTAAGCCCGAAATTTGCAGGCAATGATGTTCTACTGGATTTTCCTACAGTACATAGCCATATGTTGGAGCAGCAGCAGAAAGGAAGAAATATATATATAATTTTAAAACAAGATGTGTAATTCATCACTGAAAGCTCGCAACTTTTAACTACTGCTAAACTCTCACATCTATAATTTCATAGTTGAAACCACCTGCTATTGAAATCTTTGATAGAAAGATGGTGAGGGGAAAGACACTGCAAAGCTGGGTCTGCAAAATCTGTAAAGAAGTATTGCTTAATACAGTACAACACAAAAGCAGGTTTTCCTGAAAGAGCAGCTAGATACATCTTGTCACCAGTTATAAATGCAATCATGCAGGGTATGGCTTAAAAGAGAAAAGTGTCTTCTATCAGCCATATGGTAAACACTGCCTTCAAAGACTTTGTGCAAATGCCGCCTCATCTGTGAAGCCTGCCCAGACCCCCCAGGTGGAGTTTAGTTTCTCAGTGCTCCCAGTATTAATTTCATTGAACTCTCTTTGTATTTACCACACAACATCACAGATTTTGGTATACCTGTCCTTCCTCCACCCTAAATTATCAGCCCCTTCAGAATATGCAGAGGAGGCAGATTAAGGAGCAGGCAACTGGAAAGCGGCCAAGATGCCAGTCTTTAAGACAGGAATGCTAATTCTTTCATGGAAATGTAATTGAGAAGAAGAAAATTCTACCCCTCAGAAGGGTCTTTGGTTCCAGTGTGGGTCAATTCACTAAGAGTCAACTTGCTCAGAACCTCAGAGGCGAGGCCACTGCCTCTGGAGTCACCTGCCCCCTTCTCTTTTACAGTAGTGAAGCCTTTCTCAATCACTACTGTGCCTCTAAATTGAGGCTTCTCAGCCTCAGCAGTGTTGGCATTTTGATCTGAATAATGCTTTGCTGTAGGAGACTGTCCTGTTCATTGTCCAATGTTTACCAGCATTTTCTACTGACCAGGTGCCAGTGGTATCCCCTATTTGTGATAACTAAAAGTGTCTCCAGAATTGCCAAATGTCCCTTGAGGGAGGGGGCCAAAGTCTTCCTAGTTGAGAACCACTGCTTTAAATAAACAGTAACCCAACCTACATAAAGATTGTACGCTTAAGGAGGCTTCACTCTTTGGCCTGTTTGGGTTGCCACAAGCCTTGACTCAGCACAAGGCAATGTGACTCCATGTGTAATCTTCATCTTACTGTTTCCCCTGCAACTGGAAGCATTCTTGGCATATAGCAAGTGCCTATAAGTGTTTCGGGAATGAACGAATCAACAAACAAGTAAATTGGGTGGAAATAACTATTAATCAAATTATTGCCTGGAATAATACAGGAGGCTTTATTAGCAGCAGCAGCAGCAGTTTAAGTTGAGAATCTGATAGATACAAAGGTGAATACCAGATAAACTAAGTCACCGAGTCAGGCGTCTGAGAGCACACATAGCTATTACTTAAAATAACATAACATTGGAATTTGAGATAAGCATGAAAATCATTTAATCAGAGCAGAGGTTTAGGCAGATCATAAGAGATAAAGGTTCAAGTTAAACCAAGGACAAATCAAAGTTTCTGGGGATTTAAAGAAAAACAGAATGCAGTTTTTAAAGAGGTTCACTATTTAGAGGTTAGTTTTTTGTTTATAAGTTCAGTTAGAACTAAATTAGCTACGCAAGGATGGCTCATTGCACCATAAAATATCATCTTCTTTGTGCCTGTTCAATGACTTATCAGTGAATTTGCCCAGAAGGGCTCTGATGCCGTTCTGGGAACAAATGACATCAGTCTGCCTGGATATTTCAACTGCCAGAGATAACAACTGTGAGTTAAGCATCCCAAACTCCAATGTGGAGTGCATAACAACAGCAGCTAAAGAAGTTAAAAAAGAGGTGTTGGAATTCAAGAAGAAAAGCCTTTGAATTGATCCCTTATCTGGAAAGATTTAATAATTCCATACACTGTCCAATTTCCTCTCAAGTTTCCTCAGAATTTTCCCATCCAAACCTCTAAAACAAAACAAAATCAGTATAAAACAAATCTTTGAATTCAGTGGTTCTCTACCTATTTGGGATCTGGATTCTTCCGAGACTAATAAAGGATGGTGAATGAATTATCTTCCTTCAACAATTGCACACCAAATCTACATCTGCATATACAATTTGCACATAATTTCATGTGGCTCAGGAATGCTAAGCCTGCTCATGAACTTGCATTTAAGAATTCCTGCTCTACTGATACAAATTCTCTGGTGGACACCTTCATTATATCTATTTCATTCAACGATCCTGATATCAAACAATTCTCTGAGATAGCTAACTGATCGCCTCAGAATTTTAGGAAGTAGAAGCAGAAACAGAAATTAATTTTCTTCACTTTCCTTGGCCCTGTTACATACCAACATGCTTACCACACAAAAACCATAACAACCACCCACTTCAAATAAAAAGGGGGGAAAGGTAGAGAACAAGCAAGAAGAGGGGAATGAAGACTGCCCTGAAGAAAATTTACATCTTAGGAAGTGACATTATAAAGCCCCCAATAAGTTCTTCCTTTCACTCTTAGCCACCGGCAAGCAATATGCCATATCTTCCTTCCTCAAATATTTATTGAATGTCAACTATGTGTTAGTCATTGTGTCAATATCTGGATACACACTGGTGAACAAAATAAATGTGGCACAAATAATGAATTATTTGCTTTCATTTCACAGCTTCTTACTCTCTCTCCTCTAAAATAACCTTGCATAAGTGGCAGGGCAAATATTGGTTTCTTAACCATTTTCCCCCCAATTTTTCCCATAGAGAGTATATAATACGTATGCATTGTTGTTTATATCCTTCATGTAAAAAACACAGTATTTTGTACTAGACTCAGTATCAGTGGGTTGTATCTCGTTGCCATTATTTCATGGAATAACTAGGACTTACCCTTAACACAGTCTATAGCTTGTTTTTCTAACCTTTTGATAATCTTGTATCAAAACAATGCCTCTTTTGAGGCTACATCTAAGATGCAACCAAAAACGTCAACAAACTACTATGGAGGAAATTAGGTTCAAAGACAAGTTGGGCTCCGCCACATGGAAAGTCACACAGACAAAGCCACTGCCTAAGGAATTAGTTGCACAAAAATGAATATGAATAGGTTGTTCAACACTCTTTTTCCTCTGGGTGACCAAAATCTGAGGAATTTGGAAAATGGAAGTTTATTTTGTTACCATTTAATATCCTGTCTACTTAGTCATTGTACTAGAAATATGAATCATGTATGTTTTTCAAGGAAATAGCTTCAGGGATAGAGTCAAGCACTATTATGAATTAATCTAGTAACTCAGCATCTTTACTGGCAGTGGAATATTGATATTATTCAACAGAAAGCAGTTATTGGAAAGAATAAGCATTTTCAGAGTGCCAACACTGGTAATACTTCATACCTTTGGCTATAAGTTAGACATGATTACAAGTACTTAATATTAACTTAATTATAATATTAATCACTTAATATGTATTAATTTTATAAGTCCTTATATTAATTTATGTAATCCTTATAACAATTCCATTAGGTAATGGAGCGGGTTGAATGGTGTCTCCCCAAAACCGATGTTCATTACGAACCTCGGAAAATGACCATATTTGGAAATACAATCTTTGCAGATATTATTAGTTAAGAAGAGGTCATACGGGATTAGAATGGGCCCAAAATCCAATGACTGGTGACCTTATAAGAAGAGAAGTCTTCTTCTTATAAGGACACAGAAGATAGATGATGGCCAAGTGAAGAAAGAGGCAGAGACTTGAGTTAATGCTACCTCAAGCCAAGGACCACCAGAAGTGGGAAAAGGCAAGGAAGAATTCTCCCGTAGCGTCTCTAGAGGAAGTGTGATTCTACTAGAATCAAGTGTGACACCTTGATTTTGGACTTCTGGCCTCCAGAACTGTGAGAGAATACATTTCGGTTATTTTAAGCCACCCGGTTTGTGGTGGTTTACTACGTCAGCCGTAGCAAACTAACACAAGTAGGTACTATTACTAGCTCCATTTCGTAGATGAGAAAATTGAGCTGCAGGATGAGTGACTTTCCCAGGGACACAGAGCTTGTGAATGGCAGGGATGCAAACCCAGTCTGGCTCTGGAGTCTAGGCTGTTAATCAGCATTCTAAGAAAGGGTTTACATGTTTGGTCTATTCCAAATGAGAATTCTTAGCTCATTCATTCATTCATTTTCCATCAGTCCATCCATTTGTCCATCCATC